TGATCATGGAAATCTTTTCTCGATCTCTCCTCAACCGGAAACGTAAATATTGTCTGAAAATTGCAAATAACTCATTTCAACATTATCCTCTCCACTGCAACAAGAAAACATTATTTCCTACCCCCACCCCCTCCTCTTCGAAGCCTATTCCAAAAGACCCACACTAAGAATGAGCGAGGACGTCACCTCATTTTAACCATCTAAAGATTTTCCAAAAGGTTCATGATTGATTAGGATGAGAAATCGGAATTCCTTACACTATTTGAAACCCATTTCGTCCATTTCTGCCCAAGCATTTCTGCTCTTCCCCCCTTGGCATCAAGGGAGTCCCAAATCAACAAAGTCGCCATATTTTCCGAGATCAAACTCAAAGATAGCATCTCTCTTTCTTCCTTCTTCCCTTATCTTCAACTCCAAGTATGGAGGTGGAGTTCTTCAATAGCTTGACTGACTCTCTTCCTTGATAGGATGTGATTGGACACTATAACGAAAGAACTTTCTGCCCTAGAGATTTAAAAAAATGTCACGTCTTCTTTTCTTTTTCCACCCAAGATTTTATCCTCTATCTTGATCCTTATCAAGGAAAGTTTCTGTCTGAAAATCTAGAGATCATCTGAGGATCAAGGTTGGAGATCAAAAGCTTTGCTCAAATAAAATTATGAGAAAAATGGGATCAGGAAAGCACTGACACAGCAAGGAACTATCTATTTAGACCATACTGATTTTCTTGCCTAAGAAGTTATAGCATAATTTGTAGAAGTATCAAATAGAAGTCAGAAGATTAGAACAGAATAAGGTTATAATTATAAACGACAACCCATACAAACAAACAGCAGTAAGATACTAAAAGTTTGATTTAGAAAGATAATATTTAAGAGGCTCACAGTTCCAAGAGTTAGCAGACTTTTATTAATATATGATCCCTCTTTTCGCCTTATCCCAGTAGTTTCAGCTTTTGAGCTCTCAGAACCTGCCAGATCGATGAGGTTCTGCAGGTATAAGTAAGATGTAGGAAAAGTTACAAAAAATGGCAGACAATTGATATACACTAGAAGATAATCACATAAATAGTTAATTCAAAATTAAACTTTGAAGAAGTTAGTTTCATACCAGTTGAGATAGGTTTACAGATTCTCCTTCGCTGCTTTCACCACATGGGCTGCTCTCTATAGTCTGTTCACAAGATTGAAAAAAACTATTTCATCAACTCAATGATGACTACTCTTGTTAAAAAAAAAAAAAAATTAAAAAAAAAGGTCTTGCATTCAAACAAACAAATAATAAATAAATAAATAAATAAACTTAAGAAGTTCATAAATAAAATTCAATAAAAAAAAATAAAAAAAAAAATGGCATCATTTGCCAAAACAATAATAAAAAAAAAAAAACGGCCAAGAGGATCTTACCAACATAAATCACAAGGTAATGCCCAAAAAATTAGTTCAACTAAACAAAATTCCAGATCCATTTAAGCATATCAACTGGGTGTTGTGACCATAATAAGAACACGGAAAAACAGAGAACTTAAATCGAAGGTACAATCATCGATAGTACTTATTTACCTATATTCTAGTACATTGTCATTTACCTATATTCTAGTACATTGTCAAGAGGAAGATACATATATGTTTCTTATAAAAATAAAAAAAAAGGTTAGTCAATATATTAGTTCTTATTAGTTATCAACAATTTCCCTCGCCTTTAGACTAGCACTTTTATTCAATTAGCAGAAACAAATACAATGAACCATTATTTTCATATTCCTAGGTAAACTAGTCCCCCACCTAACAGTTCCTACAGAAGAATAGTTTCAAAAAAGTATGGAAGCATGAGAAATCAAGGCATTCATATTTTCATATTTCTAGGTAATAGCCCCCCCACCCCAACAATGCCTACAGAAGAATAATTTTAAAAAAATATGGAAGTATGAGAAATAAAGGCATTCACATATCAACCTATAAGCTCTTGATCAATTAGGCAGCCCCTTTGAACAACATGCATGGCTCATTAATCTTTCTTCTTAGAAATAGGAAGTAAATGATTCAGTCCAGAACAAGTGACCTTATTAGCGGAACAGTATTTTGACTGATGTCCAGAAATTATTCAATCGGCCTCATCAGCATACTGGAATAGTCTTTTTACTACTGTTCTTTGCATTCTTTGATTTGTCTTATTGAAAGTGTGGTATTTCTTTTAAGAAAAAAAAAAAAAAAGAAAGAAAGAAATAGGAGTAATAGAAGTTACAGAAATGAAAAGTCTCTAGATTAACTAATAATCAAAACGGATCAAAGTATTATCATTAGCTTGACAACGCTCCATGTCCGAGAAGGAGGCTAGACATATTCAAAGGAATTTAACAGCAGAAAATTTCTTTTGTAAACATGAAAGCTAGGAAGTTAGAATGCTGAAGGCTTGAATTAAAGGCCAAAAAATTCTCTGCATATAGTCATTTTAAACTTGATATTCTCAAATATGACAAAGTATTGCTGAATAACAAGAAGGTATCACAATTCTTGGATAACATGTCCTGAAATAAAATTGAGTACAACACTACAAGAACGTAGAACCAAGAAAGAAGACCAGGTATTCTTTAGTAAGGCATATGTGGAATCAAATCTTGAGCCAAGATATGAATGAAATGACCAACATATATAATAACTTTCATATGACTCCATAAAAAGAGTTAACATCTCAAGGAAGGAGGTCCTGACTCCTGCCTCTTGCCTAATTGAAAACTCTTTAAAAGAGATCATAACTACCAACAAGTAAAAAGCCTTCACCGATGAACCTTAGAATCTTCTGAGGAAACTTCAGAGTTCAGAAGTGTCTTATGTTTATTTATACAACACTTGGCTTCTTGATGGAGTTCAAGTCAAAAAGAGTTTTGGTGTACCTACAGCCTTACCATGATTATTAAAAATTGGAAGGCCTTTTTTATTTATTTTTTCTTGGGAAGGGGTTCTCTCAGCCCCTTGCCCTTATTATGTTTTCCTTTTTGTCTATAATATTTATATCTCAGACTCTTATTATTTATACAAATTAAAAAGGAAAAAAAGAAGCCTTCACCAATGAAGAAAAAGGGCAACGTTCAATACAAGAATGATATCACCATAATAATATACCACTCACTGCAGGTGTACTTCTGCAAGCAAGAATAAGGGAGGGTGTAGCAAGATCAGGTCTAAAGTTATCGAATAGAAGGTGGGGAAGAATGACACTTGAATAGCTGATCAGAAAAGAGAATAAAATCAATCAAGGTTGCGTCATGCTTCCATTAAGGTAAAAAAAATTACCAACGTAAATATTGTATGGCTTCTGCTGCTTAACAAATTGAAATTTGTAGACCCAACATGTCTGTGTTCTGTAGGCAACAATTAAAAGTTTATCACAAAGTGAAAACTGTCATGAACAATAGTATCATAATAACAAACAGATGCAACAACTTCTATTCACGAAAAAATGAATAGTCATACTTGTGAAACAGTAGATAAAAAAGGTTAAAAGGATTAGCCTTTATAAATAAACATATACCAAAAATAAAATGCCTGGAAGCAATTGTCAGCAAAACAATCTATACGATAGTCATCCAAAATAGCCCAGAAAACAGAAGAGTACGGCTATGGGCTGTTTGAAAACTATACAGAATAATTTTTACAGAAAGATGATTAAGTAGTAAGTAAAAGTTAAGACAATTGGGAAACTACCATCAGCAAACCAATAATTTATAAGAAATACAACTTCAAAGAATGATAAACCTGTTTCAACTGATTTTTTATAACTTAATAGAATATAGTTCTCAGAAATAACTTCCAAAATCACCGTGATTTTTTAGCTTCAAAAGATTATGATTACCATAATGAAGATAGAAGTCCTTCAAAGATGACCCCTACTGTAAATTATTGTTTGGTCATTTTTTGAGGGGAAGCATTGATTTTCTTGGTCATTTTTTGTTTTTGGTGAAGCAGTATAGTATTCACTTTATAATAGAGTGCTGGAAAATTATTTCCTTATTTGTAAATGGGTATTTATTAGGGCAATAAAATATACATAAAATTTATCTCTCTAAGTACTCTACATATAATATTAATTCATTTTAAAAAATTTAATATATCAGGAGCCTATTAGCCATAAAACTGAAAGCTCATGGACTTACTAGACATTTCTAAAGTTTAGGTATCTACATGAAATCAAAAGTTTATGGACTTATTAGATACTCTTAAAGTTCAGAGAGTAGACATGAATTGGAATGTTTTGGGACTAAACTTGTAATTTAACCTAAAAATAATGAATAAATAAATAGAATAATGACAATAGGTTTCAATCAAGACCAGAGCTGGGTCCTAGAAATGGTAAATAATTCTCCATTTTCATTCCTCAAGTTAAATTGGAGACTAAAATTCTCTCCAATCTCAAACTCGTTCTCATTTTAAATGAAGATTTTCCACCTGCTCACATCAATGGTAAGGAACTTTATCATCCCTACTCTTAATCCAACCATATTTGATACAACTTTAAGCATCTAAAAATCTAATAAAGAAAAACTATCATGACTCATTTCCAAATAGGCACCTAGAATGAATGTTGCAAGAGAAATAAATCATCGTGCAATATTAGGATCCTATTGCTTTTCCATAAAACGAAATAGGCTATCGAGGATTCTTACCTTCTCCCGCTGCAATAAGTGAAAGTGCATGAGCTGGAGATAATACAACTTCTTCCTTAATTCCTTCTACAAAGGTGCCCTAGTAACATCAACGTAAAAATAAATGCAAAGAGTTTCCACATTCATATGATGATTAACATAATCTCTCTATTGGTGGAGTGAATATCATGGTTGCAAGCAAGTAGAATATGAAAATAAAGAAAACTGTCAAGAAGTTAAGATTTATATTAGTCCTCATTGACGCATACAATGCAAAAGATAAATGAATCCAAAAATGAAGAAGTTTAACCATATGGTAAGACAACCATTTGCATTTGGCCCAGCTTTTTCTTTTCTCTCTCTATAACCAAATCTTTCATTGAGAAGACATGAAAGAGAGTCAAGGGACTTACAACAACAATGGCCAAACAAAAGGAGCAGACTAACTAAATAACTAAGGGCTTCAACCAAAGAGAATCATGTCTAATGAATAATTACAAAAGAAAATAATAATAAACCTTGGAACAGGAAGCCCAAAGAGAAATACTAAATCTAGGCAGAGTGCAAACCTCTCCTCAAGACCTATTAACTCCTCTAAATATCCTAGTATTCCTTTCAAGCTAAATACTTCATAAAACAGACAAAAACCACATGCAAAAGAAATTGTCCCTTGTAATGAAACTGTGGGTACAGAAACGAAATCTCCTAAAGATAGAACAGTCCATTACAAGGCAACAAACCCTGTAAAATTCTTAAAAACTATCCCAAATAGAACAAGCAAATTGCCAGCTCCAAAGGCGATGATTGAGACCCTTGGATGTACTTCTGCAATGAATGCACCTTTACAGCCATAAGCCATGTCACTAGCCTTCATAAGATCATTGCCAAGGTTTTGATTGACAGATTTAGGAAAGAGCTCTCTAGTACTTTCTAGGAATATCAAGGAGCCCTAGTTAAAGGAAAATAAATTTTGAAGATAGCGAGGATTGTAAGGTGGAGAGTTTATTTTTAAGATTGACTTTGAGAAAGCCTTTGATCACACAGACTGACACTTTTTGGACAAAGTGTCTTGGAAGAAGGCCTTGGGTGGAAATAGGATTCTAGACGTCGAACTGCCTTCAAATAGCAAATTTCTCCATTCTAATCGATAGTAAACCTAGGAGGAGAATCTATGCCAAAGATGTCGTGAGACAAATAAATCTTTTATCCCCTTTCCATCCTTGTAGTTGTCACGTCATTGGCAAGTTGGTGTCTACAGTGGATGTCTTTCATGTGGGCCGAGAGAAAATTCACTTATCCCATCTCCAATTTGAAAATAGCATGATATTCTTCTAATTGGGCAAGGGGGTAGAACAACCATTTTGTCTTCTCCCCTTCGGCTCAAGATATAGGACCAACAGAAGGTGTTCCTTCACTCTACAAAGGACCCTCACCCTATTTAAGCTTACTTCTCCTTCACATGCAGACACCTCTAATGTTGTATTCAAGGTAAGCTTGAGCAGTGGATTCATTCATCGAACCTGTGTTTTTCAGTGAGGATGGTGCACTTGAAGATTCTTTTCTTGAAGTTTTTGGCTTATTATTTTAAGATTGTGACAAGAAGGCTCCTCTTCCATCCTCCATGCCGAAAATTTTTGTTTCACTTATTGAAGCCTATGGTATGAGAAAATACAGTAGCTTACTATTTTAAGTTTTTGACTTGATATTTTAAGATTGTGACAGACCCCTTTATTGGCATGAGAAAATAAGAAAATATAGTAGCTTGGGACATAAAATCAGTATTATCACAATGCAAACCTCCCTCTTGAAAGTTGGATACTTTCCAGCTTTTTCAGCATCTTTTCTATGACTGGAAGCCAAAACAACCCAAGTGGCAAATATAGGGAACAAGAAACCAGTTCCCATGTACTATGGACCTTTCCAAATAGAAAAATGGGTGGGGGAAGTAGCATTGACTCCAACTTCAAAAGGAGTCGGCCATTCATCCTCAAATCCATCTGTGATATGAAATGAAGGTGTCATTCTAGAACAAACGGCAATTTTAAGTGTACACCCAACAATGGTTTCTTTGGGTGAACAAAAGTTGCTAATTTAGAGGAAAGGGGAAAATGTAGAAGAAGCTTCCCGAGAAGTGTTTGATAAGGTCACATCAAAATTTCCTGAACAAGTGAAGTATTTGGGCGGAGAGTATTGAGAGGAGTGGAAAACATCCATTGTATTTCAGTTTGGTCAAGAGGAATAGCTGTGAGTCTAAGTAGAAGTAGAGGAGCGATTTCGTATGAGAGTTGAGGGATTATATGTGCAAAGAGTGAGAGAGTGATGCAAATGTGGGTGTGTATGCTTGTGGAGGTAAGCCATGAAGGTTAGTACGAGGGCACCTAGTATCTGATATTCACTATAAGAACAGTAGAGAGAGAAGGGGGGGAATTAAAGTAACAAGTGGTTTCCAAGGAGAGATTCGAAACTCTTGAAAGTCTAAATGGTTTTGGTGTAATTACTTCTCCTTGCATCTTCATATACTACGGTGAAAGAAGTTCTTTCACCATTCCGTTTAAGAGAACTTTAACCTCCCACTGAGCATACGCTCTGATTCTCATAGCAAGGAGAGATTCAAACCTCTTGAACTGGCATTTGAATGACATTATACAACATTAAATGAAGAATAAAAAAAAAATGCAACTACCTGAGCATCCTCTCTGATTCTTAGGTTTTGTCCAGCAGGATTCAACAAATCATTGACAACCTGGGATGAAGAATTAGTGTCATTAAAATTACAACACTTAAGTAGAAATCTGATTTTGAACTACTTCGATTCTTTCGTTAGAAATCCAAAAGCTCAAAAAAGTTTTCAACATGAAGCGACCAATGTTTTAAAAGGTTTAAGGTGGCCTCAAGGCATTTTCTCATGGAGAGGTGAATCGTAAGCCTAGAGGCAGTATGAGACGTAAGCCTCATTTTAAATTTAGAAACATATTTAAATCATAAAACATAGAACCTTATGTATTCTAAAGATTATAATATTCATTAAAAGTACACTACATACTCCAACAATAAGGAAAAAAATTCAATAGTCCATCGAGGTTTTGTTAATAACAATCTAAAGTTCATCCACTATATCACTATCACTAGGAAAATGAAAAAAGAAATAACTCCCCTTTTGCTGTTTTGCTGTCAAATAGTTACACTAACACCTTGAAATTTTTTTCTTTTGCTAATGCAGCCATTTACTATCAGCTTTATATTAAAATAACACAGCAGGAACCTTCCGGCATTTTTGTTCTTTTAAGTCAACCGTTTGAACTTCTTGTGTATGCCTTTTCAGTTTTCAAAGCACTTTTCATGTATTATTTGATATTTGCATGGGATCACAGTGATGCCCCACCACCAAACGAAATTGGAAGACTGCACTGCTGGAAGGTAATTCACCACGTCATTATGAACCACATGGGCCCATGGTCCACTACCAACACAAGGCATATGCCTTATCATCTAAAAGGCGTTTGCACAGAGGCTTACGCCTCTCTCAACAAAGAAATAAGCCTCTTTTTATACCTTCAAGGTGTAAGCCTTGAGGCATCGTACTGCTGCCTTGAGTGCTTTTTAAAACATTGGAAGTGAAAATAAAATGAAGCATTAGAAACTAAATAACTAAATGGAAAGGAATGTACCTCATTGTAGATTTCTAGGTATGACACCCGAAGAAGAAACTCCCGATTTGGAGTCTGGATGTAGGAAGACATTAAACAAAGTATTTCTTTCGAGATTATGATTTAAACCATATCCAATTTTTTTCATTATTACCTCTTGGATGATGCTAAATGCATCTTTCACAGCCAGTGGTATTATTCCTGGCGACCTCTGATCACCCTATAAATGAGGTATGAACTATGTAAGTTTGATGACAACATCATCTAATCCAATTATGTAGCTACAGAAATCTTATTTTTCATAGTCTAATGAGAAAGTATGAAGCAAATTAGGTTTAATTAGATTTACAACAGCCTGCGATCCTCCTTGAAATGTCCTCTCATGACCAAGCGATAAAAAGTTGATCCTAGAATATGTAACATTTTAAATCAAAGTCAAAGGCATCCTTTTCCTGTTTAAACCTAAGAAAATGTAAATAATGAAATACTTAAATGTATGTGAATAATTGGCATTTATCTATTTCATTGCTGAATTTGAGAAGATTTCTTCATACTGAGGTGTGGCTTTTTTTCTCGTCTTCTGTTAAATCGTATGTTCTTGTTCATGTAAAGATACTGATCAATAACAAAATAATGAAGGAAATAAGTCTTTCATCTTACATGCATAGTGTGAGTCTTCCCACTGCTCGTCACCCCATATGCAAATATCGTACCTGTGGATGAAAGAGGAGGAACGTGATTAGGAAATAAACAGAATATCATATTTTTCAAACAGCATATCATGCTCATAAGTATATCCAATATAGAGATTAACACTAATGAAAAACACTTATGAAAACAGTCTTAATCAGTAATTATAATACTCTGACTACTCTTAGTAAGCCAAATGATCTCATGTGTACTGGTCAGGTGATCTCATGTGTACTGTTATGCCCTTCATTAAGACTGTAAAAACAAAAGAAAAAAGGGTTTGACTTCCCTTCGAACCATAGTGACAGACAAAATTATGGTTGCAGCTTTTTACTTTATTTTATTTTATAGGAAATTGTGGTTGCAGCTTTGAGGAACCAGGATCAACTAATAGAATGTAATACGTTGTTCTTTTACTCCTTGTCCTTCATCACTATGTATTTTCTCTCTGGTCAAGTGTAAAACTAAGCAAAATGTGCAAAACTATTGTAACTAGAAAAAGCTTAATAAATCAATTAGTTATTGTTAATTATTGTTGAAACTCAAATTATCTTCCTGTTTTCATATTAAATTTCAAAGAGGTACATATATCTTTTATAATACAGAAAAGCTAACTGAATCCTTAAATGCTAAGTAACAATAAATCTAAATAAATCTAGGTAACGGTCAACTACTTCCCTTATTTAATGGGATTACACAAATATTCTTAAATCAAAGGTCATTCCTACAACAAGATATGATTCAAACTATTCACATAGAATGAACTTCAAAGCAAAATAATATCAAAACAATATATCAATACTGCTTACCATTAACGCCATCCATAGCACCACTAACAACATGTTGTGCAGCAATATCATACACATTACGAGTAGTTGTCGTAGGACCAAACACTCGATCTAAAAGCAAGAAGAGAACATATTTGAAGTGAGATCACTACCTTTGACATGATAACAAAATTTAGAATCGTGACTTCTTCCAACAAATAAATTGATTAAAAATTTAAAAGTACTACAATAAAAATAATTAGTACATCTTGCATAACTATTTGGAGGAATTGCGAGATTAAATACAAAAATTAGGTGGGGAAAGAGAGAAACTGGATGTAAATACTAAATATGATATGGAATGGCATATGAAACATTAAGCATACCTATCAATAAAACTTGAAATACTTTAGATTCTAACATACAATTTTGATAATTTTGACAGAACATTCAGGAGGATGATCACATTATAAAGGAATCTAGAATAACGAGTGTAGGATTAAGACATGCCATCACCATGGCCTTTAACTCAACAAATTGGATAACATGCTAAGGAATTATTGGCAGTAACACTATTATCATTTTCACCATTGATAGGGGTATGATTCTTAATTTTTGTTCGTCGTGCATCTTTTAATTTTAGGGGTAAGCAAATTAAGAAATTACTTCTGCTTTCTTTCTGCCTTGACTGAGTACAAATGTCTTACATCAAAACGTATCGAAAACACTTCAAAAATTTACCATAAGCATATGCTACAGTTGGATTATGCTCATTCCGCACAATTGTTTCACCATCTGCATACCATGCAATATCCTCTCCTTGACGAATCTCCCTTGGACTTTTCAAATATAAACAATCACTTTTCATTAGAACTAGCGCAGAAAACCTAATCATCAAAGCTATAGATGAATTTGGAAAAACAAAATGCACCTGAGCGGACGAAAGCGGACCGTGACTGTGACATTTTCTTTGGATCTCTCCACATCCAATTGCACACTTTCTGAGTAAAAGTACTGTGGCTTACTTCGAGCTGAAGAAGATACTGGAGAGCTCTGACCATCAACAGAAGTGTCCAGATTCTGTTTCGATGAAGAGGTAGTAGAAGTTGAAGGCGATTTGGCAACCCTTGTACTAACAGAACCCAATTTTTTTGACTTTGGACCTTGCCGGGATGCCATAACCCCTTCAAATGGATCCTGGAAAGTGATGTAGAACAAAATCAAATACCGTTTAAAAACAATTTTGGTATCTCAGTCTCCTAAAAATTTCCATTCCTTTCGTGGGGTATAAAATTCCAAATTCAAGGCCGTACTTCAGCACGTTGAGATCATATTATCACTTTGTAACTAGTCTGAAATTAAATGAGCTCAATAAAGAATCTCTAACGCCTCTTTCGGACGAATATTTGCATATATGGGTTTTCATTGCAAAGGCAAATTTCACACTAACCGAGCTTTTTTAACTTCAAAACCCCACCAGTAGGGTTAAACATAAGTTTGCATGCGACATAGAGAAAATTACGGAAGTAAAAGAGGGTTAAACCAGTCCGCCATTTCTCGAGACTTAATCAGCATTTTCAGCAACAAAAAAGTGAAGAACAAGAGCAAGTCGAAAATTCCTCAAACATTAGAAGAAAGAGAGACCATTCAAAGTCGAATTCTACAACGTCCTGGTGAAGCTCAAGCAGGACAGTACCCTTTTTCCCGTTTCGCCCAACACCCATTTCCTCAAAACCAAACAGGATAAGATTGGAGAAAGTAAATTACCTGGACGGAAGCTAAATCAGAGAAGCATTGCAGACGGAATCAAGCTTTTGAAAGAAAAATGGGAAAACTCAGCAAAGGAATCTTCATCGAACAGAGGGAAATGCAGATCTAAGAGTGAGGAAGTGGAGTAAATTAATCAAACAAATAATAAAGCAATATAACATCATAATCAAGTCATCATTATCATGCATCAGTGAGAGAAAAAGATAGAGAGATTAGAAAAACATACTAGAATTTGTTAATTCTAATTGTAGCTCTCCTTACTTGCCTTGGAAGCGATGCCCTCCATCAAAGGCAAACCGCATTTCCAATCAAAACTTTTAGAGAGAGAAAAGGAAGCTCATAAACTTGCAATTTCAGGAAGAGAAGGGGGAAAATGGAGAACAAAAAGATAGCAAAAGGGTCTGAAATAAGTTGTATGGCTTCGCCTTTTGGCAGCACTGTGTAAAAAAGACTACAAAAGAGTTGGATTCCTGAGGTCTCTTTTTTCTAATGCCTCAAATTACCATCCTCTCCTCCTATCTCTCTTCTAAATTATTATTTCTTTTTAACCTTTTCCGTCCTCGAAAATATCTCTACTTTTACAAAATTACAATATTACCCTTCTTTTATGTTAACCGTCTTCAAAATTACCCGGAAAAAACTCGATCAACATAACTCAGTTCGTACGTTTGAGTTGGGTTATGAACTTATTTGATTCAGATTGGATTGAGTTCAAATAAACGAAAACTTTATAGACTAGATCAGTTCCCGAGTTCCCATAAATTAGATTCGGTTAAATTGAACCGACCTGAATTTATTGTTAA